TTCGCATTTCGCTGCATAGCAAAGTTCAAGTTTGGTGAACTCTGACCTGCGAATCCGCGTCACATGAATGTGTGAGACCAATAGAAGATCAAGACCTCACAAAGTGACCTCTCGGTACAGAAATGGAGGAATCGGTAATTTTAGCCGTGTCGCATCATCATGCTTTATACAACACAACTTTAAAAGATTACAAAAATCACATAAAAAGAGAAGCGGCTTGGTTTGCGGTGGCAAGGGAAACAGGAGCGGATGGCACGTTTGAACAGTGAAACGTGTAATTTTATGTGATTTTTTATTACATGAGATTTGTATGTGTGCATGTGTGTACTTGATTAACTATACTTGTGACTGATTGTAATCACTTGAATAGAAAATAATTATGACTAGTGAGGATATTTTGGCGTGTGATGTCATATCCTGCTCCCGCTCCTTTTCGTAGCACCATCCGAACGAATTTCACATGCTCAAAGTCTAGTATGACCACGGCTTTAGACTAACAGGTCTTGTCACAGCACTTACATATTGTTGCTCTTTCGTGGGTTTGATTGCTTCTATTGTTCACATTTGTAAGTCACTTTGGATAAAAGCTACATGATTAAATGTAAATGTAATAGTCATAATTAACAATAATATAGAATAATAAATGCTTTAACCTAATGCATAAAATATAAAATTGATCAAATTAAGCTTATTGTAAAGTGTTACCCGTTCATTCAGTGTGGCATCACACTGGATAGTGAAAAACATCTAAAATCATGACCAGTTCCACATAGTGTCAGGACCAGTTCCCTTTATTGAATGAAATTCAAATGAAACACATTCCCTTTATTCATAGAAATTTAACCAAAAATCTTGATATTGAAAATTAACAGAACTGAAACTTGGAATCTGTAGTTGTTATCTCAGCTCTAGATCCTTTGCTTAAGATGAAAAGGTTATTTTACAAGGGGGACGGGGTGGGGGGGGTTCAGACAAACTGTACGAGTGAAGTGCACAATTGACCTCCAACAGGAACTCAGTCAAAAGCTACAGCACAACGATTCTACAGCACTGCCTGTTTAGCCCCATCCACCGATTCTACAGCACTGCCTGTTCAGCCCCACCCACCGATTCTACAGCACTGCCTGTTTAGCCCCGCCCACCGATTCTACAGCACTGCCTGTTTAGCCCCGCCCACCGATTCTACAGCACTGCCTGTTTAGCCCCGCCCACCGATTCTACAGCACTGCCTGTTTAGCCCCGCCCACCGATTCTACAGCACTGCCTGTTTAGCCCCGCCCACCGATTCTACAGCACTGCCTGTTTAGCCCCGCCCACAGATTCTACAGCACTGCCTGTTAAGCCCCGCCCATCGATTCTACAGCACTGCCTGTTAAGCCCCGCCCATCGATTCTACAGCACTGCCTGTTAAGCCCCGCCCATCGATTCTACAGCACTGCCTGTTAAGCCCCGCCCATCGATTCTACAGCACTGCCTGTTAAGCCCCGCCCATCGATTCTACAGCACTGCCTGTTAAGCCCCGCCCATCGATTCTACAGCACTGCCTGTTAAGCCCCGCCCATCGATTCTACAGCATTGCCTGTTAAGCCCCGCCCATTGATTCACACACGTAGCGTAAATAACGAAGGAGGCAACTGCAGGTCTACTCGGAAACCAAACGATAAAAAAAGCTCTGAAGGCATGCTGTGGAAAAACAGTCTTTATATTGCTTTCCTTCTGATCCTAACATTAGGAAAGGGTGGATGAAGCTTAATTTTAATGAAGTACCAGACCGCGGTAAGAACTCGGTCCTTCGTTCACGTCATTTTACCGTGGACTCTTTTACAGACAAGGCACAATTTGATGCGGGATTTTCAGAAAGATTGAAACTAAAAGAATGCTGTGTGACGATATTGGATTCGACAGTAATGTCGCAACACACAAGTGTGAGTAACTTTTTATTAAGTGATCACTATTGCTTTGTCTCATCACAGATCGTTTGATATGAGTATTTATGCATTAACCAAAAATCACAGCAGCGTCCATCTGCAAAGGACGTAGGCTATCAAACATTCACAACTATTAGCCAATCATAGCAGTGCGCGTTTACTTACGAGTCTACAATCCACCACACCTATACACCTATTCAAACAGAGCGTTCTGATGAGGGGGGTCAAAAACAGGACAAAAAATAGCCTATTCCTTCTAAATTATGTTCATTGATGTAAAAATCTTGATAACATAAGTGCACTTCCGAGAACAGCAAAATAAATAAATAAATAAATAAAATACCCAGTCCATTACAGGTGCTGGGCGGTATGATTAAAAGTTTATATCATTGTATTTTTCAAAATTATACCGGTTTCACTGTATATGATGGTATTTATTTTTTCTATGTATGACCGGGTGTTAACCACATTTTCTACTGATTGAGAGAGGAAAAACGTGTTAATCAGGAGTCGCTCTCATTCATAATCGCAACATAGTCTGATAAAATCAACATGCATACCATTTTTTTTACGCACCTCATCCCAAACCTGCTGCAAATTCCAAAACGTCATTTTAGAGCTGATAACAGAGGCTTGAGCCATTGATATGCAGGCTTACGCAGTTATTAATGCAGTCTAATGCGGTTATTAGAGAGAGGGAGAGAGAGAGAGAGATTAAGTGTGTGTGAATACCTGCGTGTCTATGCATCTCTCAGCAGCGTCTACTAATAGCGAATCTTTAAGTTAAACTCCTTCATGAACCTCGCTACTGAGAAATGTCATGTAGCTTTTCAGCTGTGAAACTATTTTACTGATAAATTCGCGGTGCAGCGCTGACAAGAAGTTTGTTCTCCGCGTCTCTGCACTGTGTGCGTTTGTGAGAGAGACTGGGAGAAAGAAAGCCTGATTTCCCTAGCCTACATAAAAAAGGTGGAAAACATGGAAATAGTTTGTCTTTTTTTACCCTATTTGTTATATTTATTTGCTTAATGTCTTGAGCAATGCGTAAATCCAGCCCTGTTAGACGGTAATCGGAAGTTATTACAAACAATCGATGGTGGTTTAAAGTGAGTTTTGAGTAAAAGCGGAATATAAATCTTATTGTCTTATGTAGCATGATGCTACAGTTTGCATGAATGGTCACATAACACGCGCTTTCAGTCGTGTAACGTTAGTATGAACGGACATCAGCATATGATGGGAACTCCACGCAGCTCCCGCGCTACTCTATACTGGTGGTATTACAGTACCACGAGAGCTAAAGAGCAGACTGCTCCGTGCGCTTCGCTCTCGCGGATGATCGATCTGCGCCGCACCTCTAGTCGAACACACCGGCAAGTGCTGCAGGCTTGTTGGCTCACTGACGCGGATTAGATTAACCCCTTCGGTATCGAAATTTGGTACCAAACGACGAGACGTTTTTCGATACTCGATGGTATCAAGGTGCCTAAAAAGTATCGAACTCGATACCCAGCCCTAGTACTGGCGACATCTTCCAACTGAACGATAGCTAAGGTTCATCCAGAAAAAGGTCGCTAGGTTTGTCATTATGTATATTCTATGGAAAAAGCCGCTAAAAGGGTCTGAAAGTTGCTAAATCTAGTACTAAAGTCGTGCTCGTGTGTGTGAGATGCGGGAGCTGATGGCAGGGGGCGGTGGATATTTGTGGCGGTCAGTGTGGATATTGTGGACGAGTTCTTCTGTGGCATCACGTTCTATTAGTTCTACAGCTTCAGTTTCTGAACTTTCACGCTTAGTAACATACAGCCGTTCCCTCACCACAGTGCAACAGTGAAAAGGGACCCCTTTCAAACAGTGTCGCGTTCTGAAAGTTGTTTAAATGACATTTTGCAGTATTTAAAAAATTCATATCAGAAAAATAAACACCGGTATTCAGTATGAACCGTTATACCGCACAGCACTATTCATGACCCCTTTAAAGGTTTCTGTGACCTAATTTAATGACTTGAATATCCGTCAGTTTCTCACAAGGTTATCAAATGGCTTTTGAAATGACTTTTAAAAGCAACATGTTTATGCTTCAATAAGTAAATTGCATATGGATTTTCAGTGAGCCCTCAATGTAAAATAAATCAGAGGTGTATGTATGTGAATGTACCTGTAGATCTGAGCAGTTCAAGCAGCTGGTCTCTCTTGGAGTACTGGTCCACCTGAACGATAGTTTGCTCCACATCACTGCATGCTCCACCAACCACACCAACAGCAAGGAAAATGTAGTCCACTTTCAAAAAATCTGCAGCCATCCTATCATACAACACATGATGCATCGATCATTTATACTGAAGCATCACTCACGAAATAAGAGATGTGCAAAACATTTTCAAAATCATCTAGTTGTGTGGATGACTATTTGATCCGTTTAGAGCCCAGTGTAATTAATCTGGTTTTAGATTTATTTAGCTCTCAGAACTAGTTCAGACGTACTATGATGGTTTTTAGGGATGCACAACAGGTCCTACATAAGATTCAAAACCACATTTTATATTGCCATAATTTTTAACCTGGAAGCTACAAGCGATATAGAATAAATGAGGGACCTCATACGAGTCCATAGTATGGACTAAGCTAATAAGGAGTTATGAATCGGAATCATGTATTGTAGAAAGAGCTATATAAATAAAGGAGGCGACTCATAAAATCTGTATCAATACCCAGCCCTACTGTGCATAATGTACTGTAGCAAAAACTCAAAAGGCAATTGCAGATTTACTTATTTTTCCTAGTGATTTTAAGGGGGATTCATGTCGTTATGGCCAGAAGCATTCAGGCAAAGGCTGAGATGGTTTAGTGCAACGCATTAACTAACGGTCTTGTATGTCAAAAGTTTACTATCTGCATGTCTTTTGTTGCATAAAACTCTGCTTAAATTTTTCTGTTTTCATATATACAGTTTAAATGAATAATTATTCCAAACAAAGTCTAATTAAAAAATTACTTTAAGTCAGTGTTTCCAGAATGTTTGGTTTCAGCCAAGAAATGTATAAATTTAAACGTATAAAATCGCTGAAAATTCTAAAATGTGTACCCATATGCAAACTTCCTGGCCTCCAGATAGATCTGATTGATGAGCTCTCTGGTGGGGGCCACGATTATGGCCTCGGGCTCCTGCACCTCGCTGAACTTGCTGGCTGCCACTCCATCAGCCATCAGCCGCTGTAGGATGGGCAGCAGGAAGGCCGCCTGAGTGATGGCACAGAGCAAGCAAACAGTCAATTATATAAGTAATTACCATCACTGATAAACCACATCAGAATCACAAATTAGCATTTAATAAGAACAGCATGTCATAGAGGGTTGTTCTTGCCGTTTTTCCTGATCCGGTCTGGGCACAAGCCATCAGATCTCGTCCAGCAGAAATAATGGGAATTCCATGTTTCTGGACAGGAGTAGGCTTCACATATCCAGACTTCGTTACATTCTTTCTCAGTGATTCACAAAGTCCTGCCTCATCAAAAGTCTGTAAGAGAGAGCGAGCACATGAGGGACATTTTATTTTGAGGAACTGTGTTGAATTTGTAGCCATTTTGCCCTATTTTCATAGCTTCTATGTAAACAAAACAGCTCGTGGAAATGAGCCTGTGTAGACAATGAAGAATATATTTTTTTCTATCAAACACTTTAAACTGGGAGCCTTTGCAGTTAATTTACAGCTTGAGTGTTACAACCAGTTCCTTATTTATAACGGAAAAGGTGTATCTGGTTAATGCACTAACTGGTTATGTTGTTAATTTATCATCAATATCGTTCATAAGAATTTAAGAACACTAAATTAATTTACATTAACATCGTCTTTCAAAATAAAAAAAATAAAATAAAAATAAAAAAAAAGGATGACATAAATCTGTTTTTGCTGATGCAAGTATGTTAGAAGCGATGCATTGCGATACAAGTGTCAACATGTAACCGATGCACTCTTTTTTTAAATGATGCATCTCTTCGTTAACTTTTATGCCGACGCACTGATGCGAATCGGTGAATCTTACCATCCTTATCCACCTTATTCTTCCCGTAAAATTGGTGCAGCCATTTGTAACTTTTATGGGTCAGGCTCATTCGCTTCCAACTATTTTTAGCTGTACAAAACCACTCGTTTTGCTGCTTGATATTGCAAATTGGTGTGTCTTACCATATTATTTTAATGCATTATCTTAATTAGGAACACACTGGTTGGTAGTGCAAACAGTTTTACCGTTTACTGCACATTGTTATTCTTCTCGTTATTTCCCTACAGCGGCTAATGAACTGGAAGTCTCACCCATAGGCTGTTGACAAGATTTTCTGTGCACCTGAATGTTTGTGCGGGCGCAGCACCAACTCCAAAAAAAGACAAAGTCAGAGAAACAGCAGTAGGCTATAATCGATTATGGTCTATTACTGCATCGATGCAGAATCACCCACCTCTGTATCACAATGCATCAGAAAGGATTAATTTCAACACCCCTATGGGAAACACTGAACTGACGCCATGCGTCACAAAAATGGCAACATGATCGATTTAGTACATACAAATCGCACTGATACTACAACTTCTAATAGTCAAAGTTAAAATGGATTACAAAATATATGCACTAATAACTTACCATAATGGCCTTTGGAGGATTGCTGCCACTCACATCCACAAGGATGTCATCATATTTGTCAAAATTAATGCCTGTGGCATAATGGGAAAATATGGAACTCTCCTCTTCTGGAGGGGGAGGCGGCACATAGACAACCTTGGGTCCTACAAGAAAGAGAAACACGAGGTTAGTTTATTCTGGATATAAAACAAGTAAACTATAACTCCTGCATTGGCTAAAGCAATGACTTGCATTGAAGGAAAATGACCCACCTGCATTTTCACCTGCTTCTTGATCTGGCTTGTCTGATGTTGAGGCTGGACAATTAGGGAAAAAACAAGAAAACTAAGCAAATTTTAAAAAAGCATAAGTTTATTACTTACTAGTTACTATAAATGCAGTAAATTACCCTTGGGAAACACTTCCTCATTCCGGCCTCTGAAACCTACACAGTCATTAAAGAGAGTTCAATTGAACACATAAGATAAAATTACTAATGACTAACAAAAAAAAAACATGATTAAAATGTCACCTCCTCTTCCAAAGCCTCTTTTTCCTGTCTCTTCATCGCCACCACCTTAAAAGCAGGACATAAATATTCAAATGAAATGACATGATTCAGTTGTGATTGGTCAAAGGCAGCTGTGGTCAAACATGTACTATATATAACCTAAACTGTATAATTCACCATTGCCCCAGGCAACTAACTTTCTACATAGCTGTGCTAGATTCACGCCTCATCTCTTCCAGCCACCATCACATCACATTATAACTACAACCAACCATCACGGAAACCCCCACGGAAGCCTCCATGACCTCTTCCTCGGCCTTCACCTCCTTTCCAACCTGCAACAAACAGATGGGCTCCATTAAACATCACGAGTCAAAAATAAATGTCTATTATTCAGGGAAAAAAAATACATTACCCTCATCTGTGCCATTTTCGTCATTTTCTGGAAGATAAACAAGAACAATGTAAACAAAAACAAAAAGAATTATGAAATTGTACACTGATGTAAACAAATTAATCACCTCTTCCAAAGCCTCTTCTCCCAGTCTCTTCATTACCACCTTAAAAACAGGCAATGAACATTAAAATAAAACAAGTCATTGCACAACTTTACTATGATTGGTCAAACATAATTCACCATTGCCTCAGGCACCCAACTTCATACATGCATAGCAGAAAGAGATGACAAGAAACGTGCTTGGCTATTTTTTCACATAAATTACAAATTCAAATTAATTTATTCCAAAAACCAACCATCACGGAAACCACCACGAAAACCACCTCGGAAACCACCGCGACCTCTTCCTTGGCCTTCACCATCTTTCCAACCTGCAACAGAGAGACAGGGTCCATGAAACAAATAAGAGCGTAAGAGTAAAAATAAACATGTCTTGTTTAAAAAAAAAAACAAACAAAAAAAACTTTACCCTCATCGTTGCCATTTTCATCAGTTTCTGAAAAATAATCAAGAACATCATGCAAAAATTCTTATTAAAATGCATACACAAGACTGCACAATAACAGTTAAACTGATAACTAATTATTTTGCTCAATTTATGTCACAATTATTGTTAGGAATTTCGGTAAGCTATACTGCTTTTTAAATACATCATCTGATGTTTATTTTGTGCTATAACTAATAATAGAGTCGCCACCCTGGGTCACATTATCATAAATGTGATGGTCACTTCAAGGAAGTAATTGACCATGTATCCTTCTCTAACAGTCTTGTAGAAAGGGAATTCACCCGAAAAAACCCTTGGTGTGGCGACCCATCCCACAGTGCCCTTCAAGGGCGCAACAATGCCATTTGGAGAGATTTAGTCTCACACTCATGTCTTTTACAGTAAAATGATTTAACCCAGAAAGATTTGGAAGATGCAACAAAACATTGCAATGAGTGAGAAAAGCTTTTAAATGACATCAACATTTTGGAGACAGCTAGTGTTCTTAGAGTATAATATAAAAATTGCCTGAGTCTTAAAACCAGACTTCTGTTGAGGGGAATGAAGGATGAATGTAATATCACCTGATTTAAAGGTATTTCTGAAGCCTCCTCTTCCTCCTCGTGACCCTCCCCTGCCTCCTAAAAACATGTCATATAAGCAATGCTGGTCTAACACGATGTACATAAGCTTACAGCAGATGCACACAAACAACTTTGGATTCAGATTTACAAAGTTTAAATCTGTAGTTCTTTACGCAACCCTCTGAAAAGACTTTTAAAAATATGTAGTTCTGCACCTCCCTAATCAGGGCTGCTTTACAGTCAATGGTTCTCATTCATTAATAATTGGTTAAATTATTCATATTTATACGCACATCCAAATTTCTTAACTTTGTGCATCTAAGATGGGTTTCTTAACCTCGTTTTAACGTTCACTCAAACAAGCATTTTTTTTCATTAATTTAGAATTAATTTGTGGTAAAGTTTTTGTCAATCATGATTTGTTTGTAAACATTCATATGCAGTTTTCACACAAATTTTACGTACAATGTCCTTAGCTAATTGTGCTAAATATTATTTGGAAAGAAACGTGGTCCATATCCACAAGTTAATTCAACTTCACTACAAAGTTGTAATAATTTTTAAACTACAGCACTCGAGTCCTTGTTTCTGATTGACTGAAGCAGCTATTCCACCCACCCCTGAAAAAAACCCTGCACATTTTGTATGTCTCTAATCAAGCACACAAGAATTGAAACGGGCATCTCAGCAAAGGAGACATTCAAAATGCGCCGTGTAGGGGCTCCATGAACAGGGATGAGAAACACTGCTCTTAGGTGTTGATGAAACGCCATCTGTGTGAACGCTCTGATGTAGTTATGCTTTATCATTATTTAATAAAAGTTCACCTACTTACCTCTGCCCCTGAATCCATCACCAGAAGTTGTCTTCCATGAGCTGCCATCAGCATCTACAAACACAAAGACACACTTTAGATCCAAGTTAGAGCTGTATCCTTACATTAGCTTTCAGGGATCATAGTTTCAAATTAGGGATGGGCGATATCTTATTGTTTGCGATATACCAGTAAAGATTCTCCCCACGATAAGAATTAGTCTTCCCGCAATAACGATAAAGCCTGGTTGTTGACATATTTCTGTGCGACCGTGCAGGGCAGCATGGCGGAAGGCGGATGTGAAATTGAGGAGGAATAGATCACTAAACGATGAGCTTACAGTCTGGAACTGGTTTGGTCAGGGCTGTACAGTGCGACAAAAATCGGTCTGAGCCTTGAATAAATGTACTACAGTAGCAGTTTTGCATGTGTACGAGTGTTTACAAACCTGTTGTCCAACAAAGATATCATTTATTGACATCCAAATTAACTTCATAACATCAGACGAGTGTTTGAAATAACTTTGATCAGACGTTGTTTCACATCACAGAATGAGGCAGAAATCATAGTTTTATATTATATACAGTGATAAAGGCTGTCGATTAGAATTGCATTATAAATACACCTCATCCTTAGAAAAATACCCAAGATTGCTTTAACACAGAAAAACCATATAGTGTCTCAATTATATGTTCATTGCCTTCAAGTTTCCTCAGTTAACATTTCTCTATCTGCGTTTTATTCAGCTACAGCGATAATTGGATACCTTGGTCCGTATCAGGGATTTCATGGAGCATCATCAGTGCAACTACTTCTGCAATGCATATGTGGAGTTTCTGCGCAAGGGTGCTCTCTGGTTTCCGGTATGAATTAAATGGTCATTATGTGTGTACTCGCTAAAGCTCACATCACCAGGGTAAAAATAAGAAAGATAATACTTCTCTCTAAACAAACAGGATTTTTAAAACATTTTTGTCTCTTAGTGGATGCATAAGTGGATTCCCTGAATTAACGTCAATGATATCACAATAAATACCAGAAATTATCGTGATATATTTTTAAGCCCATATCGCACATCTCCATTCCAAATCACAACAGAATCCGATATATACTATTTTAAACTTTCATTAATAACGTGAATTGCTTAAGCAATTATTGCTTCTAATAACTTGTGACAACCAACACAGGGCTCCAGACCACTGACTCCCAAAACATAATTAGGAGCCAAAAGATTGACAAATTACAGAATTGCTCAGTGGTTTAGAATAAGAGCTTTGTTTCAATGAGCTGTATTTAGCATTAATTAGATTGAATTTGATGCTCATTCTAAGTGATTCTGATTATATTTGCATTCAGATACCAGAAATACCAGGAGATGGGCTGTTACATGAGGACAGCTGGATAGGGCAACAACCCAGCAGCAGGACCAGTATCTACACACTACGCTTGATTAATTGTGAGATCGTTATCGGCCGATAATCACATTTTATGACTCGATCGGTACTAACTACACTTGGCCGATCTCACGAACTGATCACAATTTGATAAAGTCAACCCGTGACGACGTACATGATGTGTGGGGACAAAAATGATTTGGTCATGTCATTGCCGGTGTGGAAATGCTATGACATTTCAAGAAACAACGAAAAATTTTGCTATTTGTATGTTTTGCATGATGATATGATGAATGGATGGTTCATTTTTAACAGCAGATTCAGTGACGTTAGAGCTGATCTGCACACGTCTGCTGCGCATTACAGCTTCACAGGAACCGGAGCTGATCGCGGCCGCTCTAGTCAGTGCTTGTGTTTATACCGGCCTCACATTTCTGAAGCGGCTCTCCGTGCTGCTTGGCTAAAAACAGTCTTTTGTGAGTTGTCACAGCGTGGAGGATGGAACAAAACCTCGTTGGAAACGTAAGGGATAACGGTAACATAATACGCTGATCGTGTCACCGTTTTGGTCACTAAAACTTTCCGATCAGGCGAAAGCACACACACAAAATAAATCTTCTGCCTGATGGAAAAAAATAAAAATAATAATAATAATAATTTAGTTTATATTTGCATTATTTATGATTTATTTTATCCACCTGCAAATAATCAGAAGCATTTTTTTATTACCAGACCAGCAGGATTAACGGTGCAGCACCCATGGATATACCCGTGATCTAACCGTTTTGTTCTTTCAGTACTTTATTTTTTCATCTTCAGTCTTATATTGGACAGTATGAAAGGGGTCATATGATGTTGCTAAAAATAACTTTATTTTGTGTATTTGGTGTAATGAAATGTGTTTATTCGGTTTATGGTTCAAAAAGCACATTTTCCCACATACTGTACATTGTTTCTCCTCTATGCCCCGCCTTTCTGAAACACGTTGATTTTTACAAAGCTCATCGGTCTGAAAAGCGAGGTGTGCTCTGATTGGCCAGCTATCCAGTGCGTTGTGATTGGCCGAATACCTCAAGCGTGAGACGGAAATGTTACGCCCCTCACCATACTGTGATGATGCCCTGTACGGCCAGAACGACGAGACAAAAACATTAAAACCCATTATAAACAAGGCATTTGTTGCATCCAGTGGAGACATAATTATGGATTACAATGACTTATACTGTCTTTTTACGCATTGCGTTGCATCGCGCCGTCTAAACATAAAACCATGTCTGCATTTGTGATCGGAGAAATGACAAACAACAAGTGCTACTCTACACTAGGGCTGTGCGATTTGGGGGAAAATATAAAATCAAGTCAATTATTAAAGTATTACATATGTTACATAGGCTGATTTATTCATTTTAAGTCTTTGGGATTTTAAGAGCAAGTGGAAAATGTGCCGAAGGTTTCATTTCATCCAAGTGAAATTAGCAAGCAGTTAGACCGAATTTACATTCGTTTTAAACGCGGAGCCAGGCGCGAGTCGACAGGTCGCGCGTGTACGCCTCATCCATACTGCCAGATGTGCTCGTGGAGACTTGCGGAGCCGGGTGTGAGTATAAACGAGCATTACGAGACAGGCTGCGTGAGTGCGGCAAGCATGAACGGCTCGTCCGTGACGCGGGATTCGCGCCGCGTGGGGCAGAGAGGAGCGAGTATGAGAAGCATTCACAGATTCAAGCTCTTCTGAATTGGGAATAGCGAACATGCATTATAAACTTATTTCAAATGAATCTGTTGGGGGGATAAAGTGTGTAAGATAACGTTTACATACTAACAAAACATCTAAGAATGTATCTTTCATTCTCCAGTACTGAAAACAGAACCGATAAGGGAGCTTTTGATATGCGCTGTGATGCAGCTCTTGCAAATTACCCATTTTGTTTGTTGTCTCATTTCGAAGCTTAAGTTGCATACGTTTTTCTTTAGTATTAATTTGCCTAACTATCGATCTGACCCAGTAACTGCCTAACTGACCCACTATTTTATTTTTTAATGGTGGGTGTTTACGCAGTTGGCTAGAGCAGTGCTGATTGGGGAGGTGCGCTCACTCTATTGGTTAGTAAGGCTGCAACTCAAGGCTGGCAGTCATGCATATGCTCTGGAACAGAGTAATATCGCGTCCACATCGCAGGCTTTGCGATTAGCAAATCGCGATTTTGATTCAATTTCGATTAATCGCACAGCCCTACTCTACACTGCCCAAAACTCGCATTTTGAATGGTCAGTGGCAAATTCTTTAAATATAAAAAACATACTTAAAGTCTGTGAGTCAGAACAGCCGGCATTGTAGTCTACTCTCCCAGGATCAGGAAACAGTCCTCCATAAAATGTGCTGCACACATCTGTATATTTGGGTTGACGTGTTCTGGAACAGTGTTTTAAATACAACTTAACCACTGATTTCTAGTCGTGTCCTCTTTTGGAAGACCAAACAAAGTAGTTTCGCTTTCATAACGAAGCACACAGCGTCTTCACGACATGGCGGCGGCGGAAACAATACTACAGCGAGAATAAAAGTTACGCCTTCTTTCTTTGCGTGAACATTTGGGCGGCGTTATGCAAATCTTCCCACATAGTGATGTAGACATGTGGGGGCATGTTAGAACGAGGCGTTTTAGGTAGGCGTGGCTGACTCTTAACTTTTATAAAGAATATCTCTTTGGATTTGAGACTTTAATCTTTACAACTTTACAGATCTTCTTTATGCACCAAGAGCTTGTAACACTCCAAAGAGAAAGAAAAAATTGAAATGGCATCATATGACCCCTTTAAGTTACATCAGACTTCTCAATTTTAGGAGATTAAACGTTTATTTTGTCCTCCAGTTTACTATTGGATAATGTTTAAATAAACCTTGTGGGTTAGATCAGACTGCTCCATTTTGTTTGTATTTATTTTTGTCTTATATTAAGTATCCTGATATACAATGTTATGCATAAACCCCATTTTAAAGCCATATTAAAATGTTCACTGTATAAGGAATACTTTTTGAGATTATTTATATAACATTACATATGTTATATAAAGCTTGAAGAATCAGAATCGGCATCGGCTGATCACCATGACAAGAAATCTGTAATAGGTATCGGCTGCAAAAATCCTGATCAGAGCATCCCTTCTAGTAAATTTTAAAAGCACATTTGTAGCACATTTTTGACAATTTTAAGTTGTGTTCTGGAGCCTTGCAACACAGAAATTCCCTTCAGGATTCCAGAACAAATTCATAGAAACAGCCCTAGAGAAAAATGGAAACAAACCTTCATTGTTTGCCTTCCTGATTCCTGTACTTCCTACAAACAAAAAGCATTTTGTGAATGGTTACTC